TTTGAGTGTTTTGAGACTCAGTGAATGCTCACAACCCCACAAGACAGGCAGTAGTGTCTCCATTTCACAGATGGGCAATCCAAGGCTGGAGAGAATCTACAGAAGATCCCACAGCTGTGAGGAGCAGCACAGGAGATTGCAAGTGCGTCCCATTTCTGAAGAGCATCCACTTAGAAACGTCAGTTCCTGGCACAAGGCTCCTGTGCCATGGGTTGCTCCTGGCTCAGTGACCAGGCTCATTGTAGATGCGACTTGTCTCCTCGCGACCCAGGCTGCGGTCAAAAGAAGAGCTGATTTCATCTGTGGGATAGTGCTGACTTACCATCTATTTCAAGAATGAGAGGCTAGTTCATGCAAAGAATCAGACCTCATGAGGCAGTCTGCCATGGTGGTAGTTGTCAAGTGCCATCACACTGACCCTATGAACGACATAGCTGAGCCCTGTCCTATATCCTGCACCATCTTCACCATTTCTGACAGGTCTCTGTGTTAGTCCAACTTGTGCAAAGTCTATCTCTCTTTTCTGTCATCCTTATTCAAGAAATGTGTCCACCAAGACTGTTGCCCAAGATACTTTTCCAGAAACCCTTCTGAATTTGTTGTGTATTGTAGAGTCAGAGCCGACCCATACCTGAGTGTCCAGCAGGTTTCCAGAGGCAGTTAATCGCACAGGAGGAGATCTGGGTATATCTCAAATTAAGGCCAAGGCATGTGAACTCTGAATACCATCTCATCAGCAGTTAGACAGCATTTTGACCCTCATCCATTCTAATGGGCATAAACAGTGGTTACAACTGTTGTGGAAAATAGTGTAAGAATTCTTCAACAAACTAAAACTAGAACCATCACATGACCCAACAATTACACTCCTAGGAAAATAGAAGTAGGATAGGAATGTAAAGTATTTTTCTCCACCTCTCCAAGCATGACATCCCTCTCCAAGAAAGAGCCTCTCTTAGGAGCATGCCTGAAGTATGTGACACAAAGCTTTATCATCCTTGCCTCCAAGAAAAACTCTGGCTGCACCTTCTCCAAGACATATCCCTTTGTGTTTTTTTGGCCGTCTATGGGATGGTCAGTGCTCTTCTCCAACATCACAGCTCAAAGGCATCAATTCTTCTGTCATCCTTAGTCATTATCCAGCTCTCAGATGCATAACAAGTGATTGTGAAGACCTTGACCTTGATGAGGCGCACACCTTAGTCCTCAAACAATGGAATATTACTCCACCATAAAGAGAAATGGAGTCCTGATACATGTTACGATAGATGGACAGGGAATCACACCCAAGATCACTCATCTTTTTTTTTTTTTTTAATCGAGATTTTAAGGGGGGAGCTCTGGTGGCCTAGTGGCAAGAAGCTGCACTGCATCCCAGAGGAACACGGTTCGAATCCACCAGACGCTCTGCCGGAGAAGGAGGTGCAATATCCTCCTGTACCAGTCAGATCTGATTTGACGGTACACACACACAAAATTTAAAAAAAAATAAAAATAAATAAATAAATCGAGATTTTATTGTAAGTTAGCTCACTTGTGCACTAGAACTGCCCTTTGGGTTAGCAGTATAACTCCAAACAGATGATGTCACTGGAGTTCAACACTAGGTATCAAAACCGTCAACGTCAGTCCCCAGGAGATGGCACGGACTCAGAGCTGACCCTCTAGTGGGTTTTCCAAGGGTGTAAACCCCTCAGGAGGAGATGATTCCTCTTTCTGCCTTGGAGCACCTGGTGGATCTGAGCTGCCAAAGGTGCCACCTTTGGGTTAAACACTTTCTTCTGGACCAAGGCACCAGGGCTCCCTTTGAAGGTGTGCTCCACACATTGACATCAAGTCCACACCCTCCAGCGGAATTTCCAAGGGGGTAAATCTCCCAGAAGGAAGAAGCCTGCCCATCATCCCCGCATGGAGCCGCTGGGGGGTTCCGCCCACCAGGCTTTGCGTGGGCAGCACAGCTCCTTACACTAAGCCAGCTCCCTAAATGGTAAAACCACTCCCTGAACACATTGTTGTTATGTACTGTTGACTTTAAAGGGACTCATAGCTGACTCATAGCTGATCCTCCAGGGAGTTTTCAGAGGCAGTAAATTGCATGGGAGGAGATTGCTTCAGCAGAGCAGCTGTTGGACTCATTCAAACTGCTTATCTTTGGGTTGGTAATGGAATTCCTTACAGCTTGGCCACCAGAGTTCCCTCCTAAATGCACAGCTAGTCAATAACCAAGTTCTTTATGGTGTTCCTTTTCTTTTCCTGGTCAAGTGCCCTCAGGAGGGCAGAACTCTGAATGCATACTTAAATTAACACTCGCTGTCAACTCTTCTTTTCATTTCGCTCACATGAGGGTTTCTGTCAGCTCAAAAGAGCATCTACTTTAATAAGGTAAATAAATAACAGCCAGTTGTATAAAATAAGAATCATGTATATGACACAACATGATACCTAGCTTTTTTTATTTTCTTGTTTTTTAAGGCTTCGCTGTTTGTTTGGTATTTTTCCCACTGTATCTGCAGAAGGTCAAGGACTGCAGCCTTCAACGTGGATTGAGGCTCAATGTCAAGAAGACAAAGATTCTCACCACTGGACCAATTGGCAGCATCAGGATGGATGGTGAAGAGATTGAGATTGTTCACAGCTTTAGTTTACTTAGCTCCAGCAGTCAGGAAATTAGAAGACATATTGCGATGGGAAAGTCTGCTGTTAGGGACCTCTCTAAAGTACTGAAGAGCAATGGTGTCACTCTAGAGACCAAGGTGTGTCTGATACAGGCCATGGTCTTCGCAATCAATTGTTATTCATCAGAATGACTAGGGAGGACAGAAGGAGAATTGATGCCTTTGAGCTGTGGTGCTGGAGAAGAGTATTGAGTGTACCACGGACTGCTAGGAAAACAGATTCTTCCTAGAGAGGGTTAAACCGAGCTGCTCCTTGGAGGCAAGGATTCTGAGGCTTCATCTGATACTTTGGACATGTTGCAAGGAGGCTCTGGTACTTGGAGAGGGACATCATGTTTTGGTAGGGTGGAGGGACAGCGCAGGGGGGAAGGCCCTCTATGAGGTGGTTTGATTCAGTGACTGGGGCAATCCAGATGGGTGTGTCGGAGACAGTGCAACTGGCACAGGACAGAGCAGTTTAGGGCTGTCGCTATAAGTCGCAAGCGACTCGATGGCACATAACAACAATAACAACATACTAGTTTATTTACAAAATTCAAATATATTGTTTTCTAAAACAGATTCTTGCAGTTTCCTTCACCCTTACCCCCATCAAATCATATAACCCCACGAATAATTAGCCCCACTCCAAATACTGTCACTGATTTCCCCCCCCCTTTCTCATATTTGGAGATGCTTTGGTTTTAAGGAAAAGAAATAATTATTTCTATCATTAGCACTGGGTATTTTGGTTTAGTTATGCCTTTCTATGCTCTATAAACAAAAAAATTAGTATAAATTATTACCTAATAAATTGTAAAATAGAGGTAATTTTTTAAAAAGAGCATCTACACAGTTAGAGACCCTAGCGGATGCTGACGTGTGTCACCCTGATCCCTCCTCACTCCCTAAGAAGGCAGTCTTCTAAGTGCAGCAATGAATGAATGGAAATCCAAATTCTCTGTAAATGTTCATTAAAATTATTTAAAAAAAAAAAAGAAGGCAGTCTTCTGTTGTCACATCTTCTTAAAAAAGAACTGCCTCAACTCCAGTCACACCTTCAGACCAAATGTAAGTACAGTGGTTAGCCCTCTCACTCCTGCAAGCACCAGAGCAGTTACACAACTGTATGAGGCCATTCTAACTTCAGACCTGCCCGTGGATTTGGTGGGGCTCTTCCTTCGGAACTCCTGCAAACTCCCTGGCTTTACCTTCACCTATCTGTACGTCCCCTCTGTGAATGCAGGCACCAAACCACAGAACAGAAAGGCTCACTCACTTTGTACCTAACAGAAGTCACAGCTGGAATCGTCATTACCTTGAAAATGCCAGCAATTACTCCCACTATTACACCTGTAGTTAAAGCACTTTATCACTACACCAGCATTTACATTTTAATAAATACTTCAGTGTGCATTTTCAGCGTAGTTGATTTCCTGGGTAAGCCTGTGGATTGTACTTCATGGACTTAAAAATGTTCTAAGAAAGTCTGCAGACGCCCTGGCTGCATTGAAGAATCAGGGCAGAGAGCCCAGGGCCGATAGGGATGGGAACTCGGAGCCTCTCCATCTTTACGCAAAGCAGACGCACTCCACGCAGGTAGGGTCCCGCGCATGGCCTGGCCCAGGCCGACGGCGCCTGCAGCCTCCTCCGCAGCTCAGGCTCCAGGCGAGTGTTTGTTTTGTCCCCCACCCCCCTTCTGGAATGCGCACAGCTTTATATGAAATCCACATGGTGCCAGGCTGGGGAGGGCGGCGGCACCGAGGGACATTACCAAATTGACAACGGCCCGAGGCCCAGCCTGCCCCGGGGAAGCGTGGGGGAAACGGGATCGCCACGACGCCCTGCGCTTTGGACTCGGAAAACGTGCTCAGCGGGAACGGAATCGTCGCTAGGGACTGGTGGCCGAGAGCCCGGGTGGCTGGGTCCCCGCGGCGTCGCGGGCATGTCTGGCTGCCTTTCTGGCCTCGCCACTGGTTGGGTTCCGGTGCCCACGCTGCGCCCCAGTGCTGTCCTGTTCCCCCAGAGGCTCTGCGCTGCCAGGCTCCACCCCGGCTGGCCGGGTCCGGACCCAAAGGCACCGGACAAAGGGGACCCCGTCTGACTCCCCAGCGCGCTCCTGCCTGCAGCAGCGCCGTCGGCCTCGGGTGCCGGGCCAGGGCGCACACGGGACTACATACCGAGCGCGCGTTCTCCACTCGCCACCACGGCGACATCGGCGCGCAGCGGGGACCCTCCCTGCACCAACACCTGGCAACGCGCCCCGCACCCGGACGGTTCCCAGTCCCCACGTCCGTGCGCCCCGACGTCCCCAGCCTGCCAGCGGCCCCCGCCAGGCGCACTCACGTAGATGGAGTCGAGGTCGGATCTGTCGTAGAAGTGCAGCCCCCGGCTTAGCGCCAAGGCCGCGGAGACCTGGTCGTCGCCCGCCTCCAGCGCTAGGTCCCCCTGAGCCGGGCCGAAAGGGAAGAGCTCCTGGCGGCTCAGGCAGCCCCCGGGCCCCGCCAGCAGCAGCTGCAGCAAGAGGGCCCGCGTCCACGCAGTCCAGCCCCGGGCGCTTGCGGTCAGCATGTTCCTGGACTGCGCGCCCGCACACTCAGCGCCTCTGGGCCTGAAGGCCGAGGAAGGGCGGGATGTAACCGGACCCCCTCGGCCGCCACTCCCGCCCCAACTAGAGGAGGGGACCACGGGGAGATGGAGCAGGAGGGCCCCGCCCCGTCTACAGGGCGCCGCGCCCAGGCCCAGTGGCCGCGAGGGGGAGGGCAATGGGCGAATCTATGAGGCCCCCAGTGCTTCCTGCAGTGCCCGGACCCCCTACAAGGATCCCCAAAGGGGGCCCACCGGGGGCGGGCCGGGGCTGGGAGAGGGAGCGCAGCACCCGCTCAGGGTCAGCTAAACCTTGGACGGCAGGCGATGTGGAAAGGCATAGATACAGAATGAGAGTCCATGCGGAGGCCGCCCAACCTCGCCTAGAGGTCCCACTAGTTGGTGTTAGGATTTAGCAGGGATGGGGCCAGTGACAGGAACATGTATCCGTGCACCCGTTCATGCAGCATCTGCCCATGCTTGCCCCTGGGCCAGGTGCTGCGCAATTTCTGTAAGAAACAAGGCTGAACGCACTGGAACATTCTGATAGCAAGGCAAAGTGAACAGTCTATTAGGTTATTCGGTGGCGTTAGATGGGGTCCCTGAGGAAAGAGGGACATCAGGGCTGGAATAGCTCAGCTGGAATGTGAGGAGCTGGGGATGGAGCTGGGGGTGGGGGGGCGCTGGACGCCCGAAGAGGGGGATTTCAACTAACCAGGAAAACAAGGGTGAGATTGGGCTGGGGAGATCCTAGGCGCCAGCCTCAGTCCAGAATCTACTCGGCAGCTGCTCCCAGTAAAGCTTGGAATGGCCAGGTTAGGAATCTGAACAGTCAGTGAAGATATTCAAAGTTGTAACAAAGGAAGAGAAATGACTGGGAAAGGTGTGGCCTTTAAGAGAGTGATCATTGATTTGGCACTGAGTTCAAAGTAGAGATAGTGGGGTTATCTGCTGCCTGCTGATAGGGGAAATCAGACAAAGTGAGAAGCCGGAATGGAGAAGAAATGTCTCTAAGAGGCACTGGGTGAAGAAGGAACATGGTCAGACCGTAAAAATGATAGTTGAGGTGCAGGAAGAAAGTCAAATGTGAATGAAAGGTTTGATCCTTAGGCAGCTCTGGCTTCTGAGGGCCACTGAGTGGGGAGAGTCCCAGGGGGAGTAGGAGCTGGGGTGTCCTCAGGACCTGTTGTCAGGAGTTGTCAATTCTGAGTAGTAAAGAGGTGTCCGCATTTCTGTTAGGCAGTTAAGGACCTAGACCCCAGTTTGGAGTAATTCTTCCAGAAAACAGAAAATTGCATACAATATTTAGGGAGTGTGAATCTACTCAAGACCAACAGAAAATGTGAAGAAAAACATCTTCTAACTGAAAGTCTTTGACACCTTTGTCTTGTCAACTTGTTAGTCATCAGAAAGAGTATTCACTAATGCACATGTTTGTTGTTATGTATTGTGAAGTACTGTAAAGTTCAGAAGCTATAAATCCCATGGGAGAAGATTGCCCATCTTTCTCCTGTGAAGCAGCTGGTAGATTCAAACCATGTGCTTTTGGGTTGACAGCTCACCTCCTTACCAATAAGCCATCAGAGCTCCCTTACATGTTCTATAGAGAATAATTCATTTCATGGCCACAACTACCCTAGGAGATAATGGCTGCCCTTCTTTTTACACTGGGTGCAAATAAGACCCTAAGTGGTTTCTCACCTTGCTGAGGGCACAACTAAAGATGGTTCAAACCCACAGACGCCCTCCTTTTTAAATATGGGGTTTTTTTTTAAATATTTTCTTGGCTCTTCAGTGAACATTTATATAGCAATTTAATGTTCCATCCAACCCTCTCTACACAAATTGTTTAGTCACATTAATAGCTTTCTGGTTGTTTTGTATCCATTAATCTTGTTTCCTTGTCCGCTTACACTCTTGCCTTTGTTATAAAGTCATCGTTGACTACTTGGCCTCCTGGAAATGAGTTTTTCACAGCCACAGTACTGAAGGATCATAGTCATTCTGTGAGTTAGTCTGGTATTTAGCTTCAAGATGACCTCAGGGGTTCGCTTTGTTTAAATATTTGCAAGACTCTCTCTGGGACACCTTCAGGCTTAACTGTTGTTTTTACTACTGAGTCAGAACCAATTCATAGCTGACACTCCAGCGGGTTTTCAGAGGCTGTAAATCATGTGAGAAGACAAGACATTATTCATCTTTTTCCCTTGGAGCAGTTTGTGGTTTCAAACCACCTGCCTTTGGGTTGGCAGTGCAACTCCTTATCAGTAGGCCACCAGAGCTCCGTGGCTGTTTTAGATAGCATCAGGTTTAATGCCAAATCAATTGCATAAGCTAACAGCCCACAGCAGATGCTGGGAAATGAGTAGCTACTGTACCCTGTTTCACACAGTAAGTGGAAGGGTTGGAATTTGAATGTCAGTTAATCTGAAGGCAAAGCTCATATTCTTTCCACAGCACTATTTTGCCTTTCTATGGAAGAAATCGCGTGTCCTTCAATCTCTCCGCCCCCTGCAAGATATATTTGCATCTCTGAATCTGCACTACATTCAGCTTCTATTTATGTATACTTCTGTTCCGTTATTCCATCAGCATCACTTGTCAGGCAAAGTCCGACATATACTGTAAACTCTGCCGTTTACTATTTATAGCCCTGCGCTCACTACACTACATGCTGCCAGCAGGGAACTTAATGTGACACTTTCTCCCACCAGGACAGTGGGGCTGGGCAGCTGACACGCCTCTAGCATTTATAGCTTTATTAAAGAGTGAAATATTTATTAATATTCATGTGTATGTAAATACTCCCGTGGGTGCTCAGAATCCGTGCCTTAGTCCTCTCTGGTCATTATGCAGTGCATGTGAACATTCTCCAGGGTATTTTCCCCTTAGTGTTTCAAGCGTTTTTCCCCACATAGAGGCTCTTTGGGGCCAGGACTCTGTATTTGTTCCCCAAATGCTTAGAGTCCAGCCCAGTGTTGCATGCTCATCAGTAAAATCATTTGAGAAGCTCATTTAAAGGACACCAAGTAAATAACTGTTGGAGAGGATGTGTAGAGATAGGAACTCTTATACATTGTTGGTGGGATTGTAAAATGGTATAAACACTCTAGAAGGTAGTTTGATATTTCCTCAAAAAGCTGAACATAGGAATTTCATATGTCCCAGCTATTTATTCCACTGCTTGGAATATACCCTGAGAATATGAGAACTGAGGCTCAAACAGACAGTTGCATGCTAATGTTCATGGTAGCGTTATTCACCATCGCAAGAACATGGAGGCATCCAGATAGTCAACCACAATCACATGGATTGAGAGACTATGGTGCATCCACACACTGGCATACTACACAGCGTACAAGAGCAATGGTTTTGTAAATTATTACCTAACTTGGGAGGGACTGGAGAGCATTATGCTGAGTGAGCTAACTAAGTCTCATAAGAACAAATATTGCATACGACCATTATTGTAGAATGTGCATTAGGATCCAAGAGGAAGGAGAGGGGAAACAGACAGGTGAGATGGGAGGGGGTGGCAGTTAATCACAGGGTCACACATTTTGATGGGTGGAGGGAGGAGCGGTTGAAGGAAATGGGAAAAATCAAATAAGAAAAACAATGTATATGAACTTTGTAAAGAAACCAGAATAAAACAATGTATTCAAACTTTGTAAATAAATCAGTATAATTTTTTTAAAGTATAAAATTTTAAAAAATAACAAAAATAAACAGATAAACTGGGTGAAAGGAAAGACAATAAACAGTAAGGTGTTGATTAGACATTGCGATTAATTAATTATATTAATAAATTAGAATTAATGTTATAAAATAAAAGCTCATTTGACACATGTTGTTGCTGACTGCCTTCAAGTTGAGCAGGACTCAAAATGACGCCCCTCTACAATTATCAACATTTATTAAACATTTGACACATACTGTAGCCAAAACAACGATGCCCATACTAATCCTTTTTTTTTTCATTGAGCATTATTCACCATCGCAAGAACATGAAAACAGTCCAAATGTCCAACTACAACTGAATGGGTTGAGAAATTATGGTACACTCACTTGATGGAATACTTACTATGCAGCACAGAGGAACAATGATTTCTAAATTGCTACCTAACTTGGGAGAGATTGGAGTGCATTATGCAAAGTGAACTAACTCAGTCCTATAAGGACAAATACGGTATAATACCTTTATTGTAGAATGAGTATAAGGATCCAAGGGGGAAAGGGGAGAGCAAAGGGCTGAAGATGGGCGGGGGAGGGGAATGTTAATCATAGGGTCACACAATTTGATAGAGGGGTGAAGGAAGTGGTAAATATCTGGTGTGAG